TTTATCTTTCCATTCTTCCTTTTGTGTGACTGACGGAAGTTTGTAAACTGCTGCTGTCACTTGAAAACTGGAACCAACTATAGTTGCAGGTGGGCTTAAATGGGTTAATATTATTAGGTCTTTTATCAAACCAGTAAAATAATCAAACATTGATTGTTGTGAGTGTCTGTCTGATTTCTATAGTTCATATTAATCACAAAATATTGAAGCTTCTAATGTTTTGCAGAACATGAATGTGCATGAAGAAAATCATCTGCGGTCTGAGAATGACAGCTGCCTGTTCTGTGTATGAAGAGCATTTACATAGAGAGACACTTTGCATGAGAGTGTTTATAGTGCTGTGAGTTTAACACTTCATGACTGAGAGCAGAACAGAACACAATCTTCATCATCACACAAGACACAACAACAACAATGAACAACATCATCATCCTCATCTGGACTCTCACACTGTTTGCTCAAGGTTTGTAGCAAAGCTTTCATAAAGACAATGAATCACTTTAAAATGTGAAATATACATCATTTTTTATTCTTATCCTTTGTTCCTTTCTTTCAGAGTGTAGAGGACAGATCACTGTAACTCAGAGTCCATCAATAACAGCAGCTCAACCAGGACAATATAATAATCCCTATTGCCCCCACCCAACAATTTGGATACATGTTTAGATATTATCAATGACTACTTTGTGTCTTTATGTGTTTGTTTTTTGTTTTTGAAGCGTTGATTTAAAGTGTGTTTTTTTTAATAATTATTTCAGTCAAACCTATAAAATCCTTTGTTACCCCAGACTACATAAAAAAGCTTGATCAGTCACATAAAAGTAATCAGAATGCAGCTACTTATTCCCAGAGGCGGACAGTAATAAGTAAATTTACTTGAGTATTGTACTTAAGTGCACTTTTTGAGTATCTGTACTTTACTTGAGTATTATTTTGTCTGGGAACGTATGACTTTAACTTCACTGCATTTGAAAGACAAATATTGTACTTTTCACTCCACTACATTGATATCAAGGTCCTCGAAGTAGAAAGTCGTTACTCTGTAGCAGCTTTGAAAGTCAGTGAGTGATTTTTTTCTTCTCTAAAACTTTACTTTATTTTTTTTCAGACAGTTTATCAATAATCACTCTTGGGGCTACATGAAGTGATTTCCCAGCAATTTACAGGATTTCACTGTCCACTCTGTTCAAATGTGGATGAATGGCTACACATAGATGTGTAGAGCTGTGTGAGATCACTACCATCCTGCTTTTGTGGGGGTGGGTAGGGGTGTTAAATATTTATTTCTTTATATTTTGTTTTTTTCCCCATAGGTTTTTAACATTCTAAAAGTCCTTATCACTCTGTATTTACAGGATTTCACTGTCCACTCTGTTCAAATGTGGATGAATGGCTACACATAGATGTGTAGAGCTGTGTAAGATCACTACCATCCTGCTTTTGTGGGGGTGGGTAGGGGTGTTAAATAATTATTTCTTTATATTTTGTTTTTTTCCCCATAGGTTTTTAACATTCTAAAAGCTATATATTTTTTGACCTCTTTTATCATGGATGATGTTGTGGAGTTTCTCTTAATGATGCTTATGTTGTTCATATGAAGCTCAATAATTATGATTCACAGAAAAAAACCTGCAGCTTCAGACAAATTAATTTTTCAGATTTACATTTGTTCAGTCTAGATTCATTTGACACAATTGTGAGTCCTGACGATATTTACTGCAGCTTCAGACAAATTAATTTTTCAGATTTACATTTTTTCAGTCTAGACTCATTTGACACAATTATGAGTCCTGACAATATTTATACAAGTAGAAAAAAAAACAGGTCACATGAAAAAAATCCCATGTAGCGACATGTCAACACTGATTCAACATTAAAAAGAACACAGTGGACTTTTACTCTTTTAATCTAAATGCAGCTGAATACTATTAACTATTACTTGGTAACACCTCTATTATCAGATACTTTCACTTAATAAATGAATAAATCATGAATGACTAGAATAAGTGAATATGTTATTACAGTGGCACTGGAAACTGAAAATGTTGCATCCACGCTGATAGATGTCAATATGAAGTCCAAGACTAGTGTCACATCCGCCAGTGCAACAATAAATTAACAAAATAAATACTTTAATTTTACAATTAATTTTAAAATTAATCAATGCAATTATCAGTAAATGGTTTAAAGCCATTACTGTGAGAGTAAAACATTACAGTATTAGTTGTAGCAGATCAAGCTTTTGTGAATCCTGCCCACTTCTTTGCATTGTCAGCACATGCTTCAGTGCTCTGAGAGTGTTTATAGTGCTGTGAGTTTAACACTTCATGACTGAGAGCAGAACAGAACACTACCAATAACAAAAACAGACTTTAATTCAAACTGTATTTATGAACATTTCACAGTTCTACAAAACACTCATATGAAATTATGCAAATAATAAAGGATAACAAAACAGACATTCTATTGGCTCTCTGTCTCATATGTAGTGATGAGTAATCGTGAGTCAATTTATTCTAAATTAATTTCTTTGCCCTCTTTGTCCTACACAGTCCTATATGTGACTTAAGTCCTATTTTTTTAAGTCATATATATGGTCTGCGATAATATCATAATTGTTGTTTTAACGATGTGCGATTTGACATTATCGAGTATTTTGCAAAAACCATTCAAAAGAGCCCTACAGAGTGCACGCGTACATTACGTGAAGTCTAGACTAGTGAGTGTGTGCATTTACAGTGCATTCTTTCACTGCATGATTTAGTCTATTAAAATGCATTTTCAAAGTGTAAGGATGGTTTCCCTATGGTGGTTCAGGCTGTAGGATTGCCGAATGACTAAAGAAACGTTGTCAGCATGATGGTATAAAACTGTACATTTCTAGTCTATTACCACCCACTGCCACTTATACCAACGACGGAAATAAGTGCAGTTAGAATAGCTATGTATGTGGGAGAGCGTTGCTATTGAGTGACTATTGTATTGCAATAGGTAGCACTTTAATATTAACCTTGAATCAAGTCTAGTTAGCACATAATTAATAATTGAAATGGTTTAATAACATTTTATGGTTACACTTGAATTGGTTACAAAATAGATGAAGGATGGTAAAGCATAGTTAATTGTACCCAGCATGTATGTAAAATGTTACCTGAGGGAGAGAGAAAGAGGGAGAGAGGGCAGAGCCCCAAGAAGAGAGTCCCAGCAACGAAAGAGAGAGCAAAGAAAAAGAGGTAGCAAAGGAAAGAGACATAGCAACAGTTACAGTTCTCTTTTATCCCTTTCTTGACCATGTGACTAAAAACCAAATGTGAGACATTCAAACTGACCAATCAGCAGATTACAGCTTCACCCACTGGGCAAAAGAGTGTGATAATTAGCAGACCCCCGATGTATACACATGTTGGCCTACAGGCCATGATCGATATCAGCACTTCTGTGCCTTCAGGAACGCCAAATGGCCCTTTTGTTACTCAAGATAGGTTTGGGACAGGAAAGCAGAAGTCTTTGATCATTTTTGACCCTACAACTTCATATAGTTAATCAATTTCACACGAAGAATGCCGTATTTCTCCAAAAATTCACCAGATGGTCGAAACGTTGCAATAAATATTTTTATGGAGCAGTTATATCTGTGTGCGGACATCACGTTTGTTCTTTTTCTCCAAAAATTACTATGATTACAAATGTGATATTGATTTTTTACAACAGCTTAATAAACAAGAAGCTAATTAAGAGACTTACGCAACCAGGACAAGAAGTCAGAATAAACTGTAAAACCAGCAGTAGAGTGTGTGGTGGTGATCATTTAGCCTGGTATTTACAGAAACCTGGAGAAGCTCCTAAACTCCTCATATATCAGATATCAAACCGTAACACTGGAACTCCATCTAGATTCAGTGGCTGTGGATCTTACACTGATTTCACTCTGACCATCAGTGGAGTCCAGACTGAAGATACAGGAGATTATTACTGTCAGAGTTTTCACTACCCAAACAGTAAATATGTGTTCACACAGTGATAAAGAGTCGTACAAAAACCACCGTCAGTCAAGAGTCACAATGACTGCACTGATACAGCTGAGAGATCCTGCAGCTGCTGATGGATGAATCTCAATCACTCTTGTTTGTAGATCACTATATTACAATGCAGAACTCTAATAATGAATTAAATCTGTACTGGTTAAGTTAATCACGTTGATGGCTGAACAAAAAAAGGATCAAGCCTTTTCACATCCCAAAAAAAAACATCCACTGTCCACAGCATTGCAGTCAAACTGAATTAACATTATTTTAAAATCAAATACTGTAACACTTTTAAGGACCATTTCTCACTATACATTAGCATGCATGATACTAGCATATTGACTGTTCATTGGTACTCATAAAAGCACACATGAATGACTTTTTCTGTCAGGGAAAATACAGATTCAGTTTGCAGGTAACAGAAAGTTTATTACGCTCTCACTGAGCAATAGGGAAAAATCAACAGGAACCAAAAAAAAAACAAAAGGGGGAAGTCCCAAATCAAAGTCCACAGGACCAGGAAAGAGCCTCTCAGCAGGGACCGATACTAGCGTCATCCGTGAAGCAGAGTCAAAGTTGCACTGAT